TAAAATGACAAAAAAAATAAAAGTCAAATGTTCTTGCCCTTTTTATTTATAAAAAAAATATTTTACCTATGTACGCCTCAGGACTTTTTGCCCAGTAATGTGTAGGTTGGTACCTACTGAAAACGTCCATACTGCAACGAACAAATTACCATGCATCCACTCCGTTTAGTTCGTCCACTCATTTTCCTACTAGAAGTCGTATAATTATCCCGAAATGAAAGAAAAACTTTCATTAAAAAATTTATATCCCAAAGCTGTAGCATGCTTCCTGGTTACGGACGTTTAACGAATATAAAAGAGAGTTAAATCCCCTGACCTACTTGTTGAAAGGTTTAAACGTTAAAGCTCGAAAAAAAAAATTTACTGAATTTAGTTATACACACGTGGACATTTGAACGTTTTCTACCTACGGATTTGCTTTTTTTTTCAGTTAATTCTTCAACCCATTTTCTAGTCCTCTAGTTTCTACATGGGTTGCGTTTTCTCTAAGAATAAAACTAACAAAAAAATCCAAAAATAAAAAATTGTTGGTAACTGAAACGCTATTTGCGTAAATTATGAAGATTTTAGTTTCTTATTAGGCCAAAAGTATTCTAAACCAAAGTAAATGTAAAAATGTGTAAATATTCTTCCTTGAGACTGAAATTGTCAGGTCAGGGTTCATTATTAATGGTGTAGTTGTAAAATATATCATATGTATCCGAAAAATCATGGATGTAATAAGGTTGCGATCGAGTAATACTCTCTAGATTTCCCCAAATGTCGCTAGGGTTATGTCAAAGGTGATAGGATATTTGCTTTTTGTTAAGAGTGCAGTCCGAACGTTGTAGGAAAGAATCCCAACAACAGAAAGGTTCGTTTAGAATTTATAATGCCGCATATTTGACAGCTTTATGTTCACAACAGTACGAGATTGTCCAGGTCCCACTTAATGATTTTAGTCAAATTCCAGTCATACCCCTATTGCCACGATGAACTTTTAATGTTTTTGAGTTATCTGCACTTATAAACCTATGTATTTTTCATTTGATACCAAGATACAGGAAGTTTCCCTTGCAAACTATTTCGAGAAAGTGGAAATTTCGTAAGCAATCCAACAAATAGTGGCAAAAGCACTGGAAATNGTTATTTTAATCTGAACGGTTCAATTTTCATAAATATATTAAGAATATCAGTGAACTTGAGGACACAAATTTTTAAAAAAAACTAGCTACGAGCCTGGCTATTTGAACTATTAATTTGATTACATCTTTACTGTTAACGTTCATCTAGCCACTTTTCCTTATTAAATTAGGTGACTTGAGTAATCGTACTTTTAATTAAAATTAATTAAAAGAAACTTAATTAATACATCGCAATCCATATGGTCCCAGCAATAAGCAGGTACACAAAGTAAAATTCATGTTTAGTTGAAAAACAAAAAAAGGAATAAAAATCTGATTACTTTTAGCTTATGCCATGTTTTTGAACAATTAAACTTGCTTTCGAAAACGTTCGTGTTTAGGTTTATAACAACACAAAACAGTAAAATTTTTGTAACACTCTTGCACCGCAGTTTTCAATTAAAACTTTCCGCGGCAAAACCACTTGGCTTCGTTTACAATTGAAATCGTACAAGTGGCAAATAAAAATGAAATAATTTGTAATATTGACGGTCTACTTTATTGAACAGGGACAAAAATAAATAGAGAGAAAGATGGAGAGAGAAATTCATTACTTTTACCAGAACGCGGAGTTCTAACTAAATTAAATAATTCAAAGGACATTTCTTCCTCTCTCTCTCTCTCTCTCTCTCTCACTCTTTGCATCGTGAAATAGTGAAACTTTCCCAAAAGGGCCGCAACGTTTAAAGAGTGCATAACTCAATAGAGTTATGACATAGCAAAAGGGCAATTTGAGTACACTCTCAGGCAATGAATATTTTTAATTACTTACGTAGTCGAGTCTGGGGTGGTGTAAATTGGATTTTTTTTATTTACTGCGCTACTAAACGAAATGGCATAAAGGAAATTCAGAAGCGTTACCAGTAAATAATTTAAAAATTAAAAATTAAACAGTAATTTCGAATGAAATTCGTTCTCATTAAAAGAAAAAGTTTTCATACCTGCTTTAACATAAACAGAAAAATAATTAATTTAAAATGACAAAAAAAATAAAAGTTAATACAAACAGAAGGATTTTAAAAGATAATTTTATCATTTATTTTGTCACGGCTGATCTATGAGCCATTATAAATATTATTTAAAAAATATATGCGAAGTCAATTAGCATTTTAAAATTATGAAAAATAACCGTATGACAGTTTTAATATCTAAATACAGTTTCACATTATCTGTTTCGTCCACAAGTTAGTCATTAAAATTTATGTCCGTGTAGTTATTTATACTGCACATGCCTAGCTAAAATTGTGACCCGAATGAATTATTTCTGCATTAAATCGTCACATATGCGAGAATTTAACTATACAATAATCGCTATTTAATTTCTGTAACGATAAAAAATTCTAGTGGCGTCAAATTGCCGTCAGCCATTTACATACTTTAATATTTTATACCATTTAATTTTTTTTATTGTCACCATTTGATCGGAATCCAGGTTTTATAATGCAATATTATTTTGCTGAGTTTCATGAGTTTGTCCGGAAAGTAAAAGGACTGAGTCGATTTAAAAAAATTTATTGAGCCAATCGTTACTATTCCTTAAAAACTTAAAAATAGGCTCCTTCTGCGTCGAAGCAGCGCTGCCAGCGCGATTTCTAAGCATTGAAGGCGTCACGGAAGGCATTCTCCGGAATAGCCTTAAGAGCTGCGGTGCATGCTCCTTGGATCCCCTCTGTCGTCTCAAAATGCTTGGTTTTCATCGGCCTTTTCAGGCGAGCAAACAAAAAAATGTCAGGGGGCGGCACATCTGGGCTCTAGGGCGGCTGCGGAAGCGTTGGAATACCGGCCTTAGTCAGGTAACTGTCCACAAGAAAGGCGGTGTGAGCCGGGGCGTTGTCGTGGTGCAACTTCCAGTCGACTACGATGTCTTGTCGGCCCCATTGACCCTTCGTTTGAGTCTCTTGAACACTTCCACGTAAAACTTGGCGTTGACGGTTTGTCCAGGAGGAACAAATTCATGGTGGACGATGCCTTTCATGTCAAAAAAGACAATGAGCATCGTTTTCACTTTGGATTTTCTCATTCTTCCCTTTTTTGGGGGAGGAGACGCCGGCGTGTGCCACTCGGAAGATTGCCTCTTTGTCTCGGAATCATACTCAAAGAAACATGACCCGTCACCTGTGATTACGTTATTCAAAAATCTTCCCGGCCCTCTTAAAAGGCCTGGTGCCACCGAAACACACCACTTCTTGCTAAAGCAACATCTGGGTAAGCCTTCTTGATCATATGAAACGCCTCTGTCGCAGATTTACCGAGTTTCACGCAGAGTTTAATCGCGTAGGTACCTCTGTTCTAACGAACGCTGCATTTTCGGCTTGCACCACTCACAGAAACACGTCGCGGTAAAAAGCCCGTTCTGGCTCTGCAGGTGCTCGGAGACAACTCATCAGCCGCTCGTTCGTTAGCTAGGAATGCCCTCTACCGAATCCAGTCGGTGCGCGCATGCTCCGAAGTACAGTCGCGGCGGAAGAAAATCAGTCCTATTACTTTCCGGACAAACCCTGTACAATTTAAATTTCATCGAAAGGGTCCGTTCAAGTAATACGTTTTGCAGATTCTGAAGATTTCTTACCCCCTATCCCGCTATAACCCTCCATAACGTTTTGCAAAAGCCCTCGCCCCTACCAGCAGTATGTAATACTGAAGCGGTCTCAAACTTAACCTAACCCAGCATACTTATCGTCTACGTCATTTTAATTTAAACTTCCCCAAGTCTAGCCCAACCTAACCTAACCTAACCTGATTTGACCTTTTATGATCCCCTATTCTACGTCAACTTGAGTAAAAGAAGACCGTTCTACATTCTATTCAAATCCGTCGATTTATTTAACTTATAAGCTTTCCTTTCGATTGACTAGCAGGAGAAAAGTACATAGCAAACGTTATGGAAAATGGCTATAAGAAGTACATGATGCTAAAGATTAAAAATGTCAACATTAACGACTTTGGTTCCTACAAGTGTGTAGCGAAGAATTCACTAGGCGAAACTGATGGTGTTATTAAATTAGAAGGTGAGTTCGTATTATTATTAATTAACACTAGATTAAAGTGAGTTCTGTGCTTATGTCACCTGTATGTATACAGCTGAAGTGAGTACTTCTTACATCAGACTAATTGAATGACGTAGAAGAACAAAAAAAGTCAAAGAGAGAACGTTATTATTGGATACAGGACCGTATCGATAATTATATTATGGACATCTATCATCCAATCAAAAGGGTGACTCACGCGATTTTGACTTTTCGTTTAATGCGTATTTACTTTACAATTTCGTAGGAAGTATACACTTCACCAATAATTGGAAAAACCTGTAGTTTTTCAGCTTTAACGGGTATTATTAATTGTTTAAGAAATTCCCGCTCCAACCACTGTAAAAACAACACTGCATTCACCCACTAGCCTGGCTAAGAAAAAAGGTGAGTCATTAAAACTTTTACCTGTCCAAATTTTAGTCTTTTTGTTCGTAAACCTTATGACACACATGAACTGACGAATTGTTTTGATTTTTGAAATTGGGCAATTTTTTTCCAAGGAAATAAAGTCCATATTTCCAATAAAATTCGAGGCCCCTGGGAGAAATCTAATGATGCGCAAATATTACGAAAGAAAGAACTCTGTTTACGAGTTATTCAATTCACAAAATTGTAGCATCAGGGGATTCGCTCGTAAGAGCCTTCTTTCATCGTATAACAATACTCCTGCTTGCTCTATTTTATATTCCTTTTGTAAAAAAGTGACAAAATGTCAATATCAATATCAACATATTACCTAGAAATTTTGAACAAAGATTTACAAAACAGCATGAAAAAAATATTATCGTTTTAATCATCAATATAATATAAGTAATATGAAAACGTCAATTTTCATGTTGATTTATTTCGGTTATTGTAAAAATTTATATTAGCACGCTATGTTTCAAATTTTTACATATAAACTATTTCTGCTTGAACACCCTGTACAATTTCATCTGTTTTAAATTCAAATTCTGTAGAAATACATTTAAATTGCGCAACTCATAAACGGAGTAGCTTCCGTTTATTAATATCGAATACGGAAAGGCATTTGTAAGGTCTTTATTGTTATCAAAATTTGAGGTGGAAAGAGAATTGCTGTATATAAGTACGTATGTATTTATGTATATACATATATATGTATGTAAGTCCTAATCGATGCTATTTGTCGAGACGGGAAAAGTAAAACGACCATCACAAAAAAGTTCAGTACGTTCGAAATCTCATTACGGAATTGTACAAACTTTCCCATCTACCATATTTTCTTACAGTGATTTTGCTAACTTGCCCACGTTGTTAAACTGCACAAAAATGGTTTAGGTATACGCGGTATTATTTCCGGTTTCCGGTATGATTGATGGAAATACGAATGAAAACTGCATGGAATTGTCTGTTCAAACAAATTCGATACTTTTGTTAGTAGAGTACGTATAGGTTTCCACTTCAGTAGCACGTTTCTGCGGAGATTATTTTGCATGAATATGTCGACAATAAAAACGCCAAATGCACCACTTCATTGTTAGTTACTAATATAATTAATACTAGAATGCAAATCGTGAACAATTCATTTCAAAACATGCCATAAATTTCTAAACGTATAATAACTAGGCACCATCATACGTGCAGTATAAAGAAATTCTATACAGCAAAGAAACTACTTTGATCTAACCTGAAAGCCGGCGTTTTTACAGGCAGTCATAAATCAACTTCCTATGCGTTGAACTGCCATATACGTGGAAGGCTTAAAACCTTAACTAAAGTGTACGTACAGATACAGAATATATGTATTTATACTAATATTTACACAGAAGTATAGTACCATTTTCAGTAATAAAACAAATTGTACTAGTGTTGCGGAGATCGCAAGGCAAAGAGGTGTAAAAAACAGTAGCAGCTCGTTGAACGGAACATACAATAAATAAGTAAATAAATAAAATAATTATGATATTCATTTCTTCTCTTATTTTTTTTCTAATTTCACGATCATTNCGTCTTGTTCAGCGTGCTGTCAAACCTACACTAGCAAGGAGATCGGGCTGAAACTATAGCTACAAGCTATCCAAGGATGGTACTATAGAATGTCACCTCAAGGTAGGCCTAGTGGCGTCATCTCTTGGTTAGGCCGGAAACTTATCAATCCACCCTCGTACGTGGAAGGCTTAAAGCCTTAACTAAAGTGTACGTACAGATACAGAATATATGTATTTATACTAATATTTACACAGAAGTATAGTACCATTTTCAGTAATAAAACAAATTGTACTAGTGTTGCGGAGATCGCAAGGCAAAGAGGTGTAAAAAACTGTAGCAGCTCGTTGAACGGAACATACAACAAATAAGTAAATAAATAAAACAATTATGATATTCATTTCTTCTCTTATTTTTTTTCTAATTTCACGATCATTTCCAAATGATATTACCTTGGAAGTACCAAACCAATTTTGCATCTCCTGAGATAAAAATGTTCAGTCCCTCAGAGTCTCTGAAGGCGAGACTCGAGTTTCCGAATCTCATCGAGTTTTTCTGGTGTCGCTGAGAGAGACTGTCGAGAGACTGTCAAAAAAACTGTTTAGCATCTCTGAACGAGAGACTCGAATCTCTCAATATGTGGTGTCTCGATAGACATGGTTAAAATTTTCTAAGCTCAACATATTTCAGAGATCCTAGTCTTTCTACGAGAGACTCGAGCCTCTCAGTTTTTCAGTTTTATTCATTCAGTCTCTTTGTGAAAGACTCGAATCTCTGAATTACCAATTTTACCGTTCGAGTCTCTCATACAGAGACTGTGAGAGATCCATAAAAACACCTCGGCAATAACTGAGAGACTGTGAAAGACTGTGAGAGACGCTCTCAGAGACGCTGAAAGACTCTGAGCGACTGGAGAGAGACTGACAACGTTATGCCGTTTCGATTCATTTCTGTTATTTCATGAGTGCACTATAGTGAAGCTTTGACTGAACGGGGATGTAGGGCGTGACAAAAAAATGAACCTACTGTATGGAATATCTGTATACTGTTCCATACGTAATATTTAATGCAAATAAATTAAAATCACTTAACGTATCCTAATTTTTTGTCGTGCATGTAAGTACAAATGCAGCAAATTTTTTATATTTCTATTTATTTGGTGAAGTCTACAGCGTACAAATGGATCCCTTACGAAGAATAAAATGAGCGAAGGCCCGTTTATACCATTTAGATCGTCTTTAGTGTCATAAAAGGGAATGAAATGGGTCCTTGGAGAAATATTAAAGGAAAAATTTTTATATACGTTGACAGTTTTTCGAAATTCATAGGTTAATAAGAAAAGTTATAAAATTAATCGTACACCTAGTATAGCGTTACCTACTTGTTATCGAATTACACAAAAACCTTTATAGGTAGGTATCATTTCATATTATAATTATAATATAATTTAGGTTAGCCACAGATTTGTTTTAAACATTATGAATTGGGATTGGGCTAAATTTTGTTCCAAAAAATTATAATATACCCGAGATGTTCAGTCTCTCAGAGTCTCTGAAAGCGAGACTCGAGTCTCCGTCTCTCATCGAGTCTCTCTGGTGTCGCTGAGAGAGACTGTCGAAAGACTGTCAAAAAAACTGTTTAGCGTCTCTGAACGATAGAGAGATTCTCATTTCGTATCCAAACTCTGAACGAGAGACTCGAATCTCTCAATAAGTGATGTCTTGGCGGCAGAACAAATAAGTACAGGAAAATTGATGCCGTTTTTATTGCCATAGCGTCAATCGTAATTAAGAAACAGCCATGTACGGGAAGGGAGGGGGCAGGGTATGATTGTGTGATATAACTTTCATTGGTCGCAATAGAGGGCGGCCTTTATATGTCACAAACGTGCTTTTATGATACCGTTTTAGAGTCTTATTTGTAAAGTAGATAGAGCATTCTTTAACGAGAAAATATCATTCTATATCAGTTTATGAGAAGCTACGGCTACTGTTAGATGGCGCGTTTATATGGCCATAAGGTGAACCGTCCGCGCGGCTTTATATGACAAATAAATAATATTGCCCAATACAAACAGTTTATGGGGGGTGGATTTTGTTTTACGAGAGGTCGCAGTTTAAGATGCTGACATAATTTATGACGTGTGTTAAGGCAAAAACGCAAGTTCCGAAGGATTGGACAACAGAGTTATTGGAGACCAACGGCAAGAGATGCAACCCAGTTCCGGTAAGTCCGTTCTATGTCGTAAATCTCACATATAGTGTAGTCATTTGATGCTTTAGAAAAGTCAATCGCATAGGTACATGTGCAACTACAACTATGTGCATGTATGCCGTGCAGCACAAAACTCAGAGATGGGTCATTTCATTATTTTTTTTATTGGTTTTAATCAGGCCAGTAGAGACATATCTACAGGACCGGTTTATTTCCTACTGATTCTAAAGCGATTGTAAAAGTGACAGATCAATTTCGCGCGTACAGTAAATAAATATCTTAGCCTAATCGGTTGAGTTTCCCCAAATAACAATGCGAAGAACTATAATATAAATCGTCCACGTGCCTAATAGCAATAGTAAACGTAGCATCCAAGAAGATTAGAGATAGGAGCAAAAATATTGCCCGAAGCGAAAGGATAGAAAATGTAAAAGTCCACTGCGCAGTGGGTTACTGCACAGCAGACCGCCATGTATAACTTACTGACCCTCTTACGACTTACGCCATTTTTATGCGTAATTTTTATTCCTATTTCTAGTCTTCTTGTAACTATGCAAAATTATAACTACCATCTATCATTTCATTTCATAGCATTTCAGGCTAGATAGGCACGCTTTGAAGTTGAATATTTTCTTGCTACCTATATGTATAGACATTGGTTACGCTCATGAATTATACAATTAACTTACAAAATTCGACCAGGTATCTGAAAGTTTTTCTGACAGGGGCTCGTCGGTATCTATTTCCGAAAAATAGATACAAGCTGTCATTATATCTTTAAGTATATGATTCGAATTTTGCAATTGAAAATTCTTTCACTATTAGTGTAGCGAGACATTGTATGAACTTTAAGAAACGGTTACCTTACCTTATTAACAAGTTTAAAGTAGGATGACCCTTAAAATTCTTAAAAACTGTAGTACAATAAGCAAGAGCTAATACTTTGCTGCCAATTTTAGTAAGTACAAAATTCAATCCCGAAAAAAAATTTTGAAAATCTACACATTAAAGTATTGGATAAAAATTGGTGTGGAATATAAGGTTACCGAATTCTGGAGACTAATGATTAACTGAAACACAGCAGAACATAATTTAATGGGATTTCGGTGTCGAAACGGGACCAACCAGGACCCGTGTGTCCTTAAAATGTATAATATTCGAACGGTTGCCATCTAATTGATAGTCCGTGTTCGACTAGTCCGGAAGTAAATTTGTTCGGCCAACTTACGTTGTAGCGTGAAGTTGAAGGAAAGTTCGAAACTCAAACTTAAGATGAACTTACAAAGCAATGCACTTTACTACTTATTACCATCTGAGTCAAACTATGTAACCTACGGCCAACGTGATATTTCTTGTGAAATAACCGTATGGGCAGGTGCAATTCAGAAACGTTGATTCAAAATACTAAATTTGATTCAATCAAAATCTATTTCGGTATTCGTAGAAAAAGGATAATATTACTGAAACAAGTTCATGATTATTTAATACAATCGGCAATAATTTCCAAATTGAGGATTTATAGGTGTAATAACACTGAAATTATAATAAAAGAATGTAGGTATCATCATCATCATAAGACCGTCAGTCCTAAGACTGATTGGATACGCACCTCCATACTTTCCTATCCTGAGCTAATCTTCGCATTTCCCTAAAACTAGAACAACCCATATCCTTAACTATTTGCGAACACTAATCTAATCTAGGTCTACCTCTACCCCTCTTAACTTCCGTTTCTGCCTTCCAATATGTTTCTAACTAGACCTTCATGCCTGAGAAGGTGTCCTACCAACCTATCTCGCCTATTTCCTATTGACTTCCATAGAGTCCTCTGTTCTCCTATTCTTTCTGATACCTCTTCATTTCTAACCTCTATCCACGATATCCTCATCATTCGCATGTAACACCACATTTCAAACGCTTCTAACCTTTTCTTTTCCGCCGCGCCCACTGTCCATGTCTCGCAACCGTACAACGCCGCGCTCCAAACATACACCTTTAACAATCTTTTTCGAATTTCTAAACTAACCGTTCGCGAGTATAGAAGTGACTTCTTTTTATTCAAGGCGACACGACCCTGCGCTATCCTCTGCTTTATATCCCTACTACTCCTTCCGTTCTGACTTATCCGACTTCCTAGATACCTAAAATCGGCTACTTCTTCTAATTTTTCGTCACCTATCTTTATATTCGCTCTTTCCCTACTTTTCCTTCCCTTGCATATCAGTATTTTTGTTTTACATTTATTTATTTTCATACAATACTGTTTTGTGAATACCTCATTTAAAGCTATCTCTAACTCTTCCTTGCTAGATGCCAATACTGCTATATCATCTGCATATCTAAGCGTACTTATATTTTGCCCCTGTATATCTATCCCTACGGTCTTTAATGATGTCGATCGCTTATTCGATGTATAGATTAAACAGTAGCTATGTATATTGGTCAAACAAAATTGCCTTTTTGTATCAGACTTAAAGAACACCAAAAACGCCCACAGAAACAAAATTATAGCAACAATTTCGAAGAGAAACCGATAACAAGATCAACCATGAGCTAGATGGTTTAAAATGAATGTTTTAAGTTATTGTGATGAATATAAAGCACGACGGAACAGATTTATCCGGTATTTTAGAAGAATGTCCGCAAGAAAACAAATTCAAATTAAAACGAGCTTTATTGTTGATTGTTGATTATTATTAATATTCTGTAAATTATGTAAAGCAAGTTTATGAGTGAGCAACCTTAATTTAATGTTAAAGCCTCTATGTGCTTTAATGCCGTGTTCTTGTTAATATTTTACAGATTATGGAATAGATGACGACTACACAATTTCCTCGAATGGTTCTCCAGTATACCAAGAAGTGTCTGGTTGCAGTAGGAGATGCTCGAGACTCTTCCTAGCCGTTTTGTTAATCTTCGTGCTTCGCACGGTAACGAGGTGAATAATGAGATTCGACTTAATACGCGGAAAATAATAGGTACGCTGATCGCGTGTGCTTTGGAAGCCCGCTATCGTGTAAATAATGTAAAAAGCATACCAAAAAGTAAAAGAAACTTTTGTATATGTGTGTGAGGTGCTTCAATAAAACCATGGACGAAATACCGTTCCGTATCGTTACCACCGTAGCCCCTAAAATACTAGTGTGTGATATTAATGCTAAGGTTCTGAAATAATGAAGTGTAATCCAATGTCAATAAAGCTTCAAACATTAATATTATATTTTTTTACCATCACAGTCAACGAGAAACCCTAGACTACTAGTCAATAAGGCAAGAAAATGTTGTCCTTTCTTCATGTCATAAAATAGAGATACAATTAGATATTAACTGTAGATAAAAAATTAAATTTCTCATATGTAAGTGATTACCAACAGATGCCTCATGTCCAGGGGCGCAACAAGGGGGTGTCCACGGGTGCCTGAGCACCCACTCGATTGGGTTGGGCACCCAGTCAATTCCAGTCGATTCAGATAATAACCCAACTTGAAAGTCCAAGCTCGTAAATGAGCAGCCAAACTTGATCTTTTCAGTATTATGATGGGAGCACCCAGTCAAACTGTAACGTTGTTGCGCCCCTGCCTGCTCATGCTTCTCGAGGATAATATGAATGACTCAAATATATGAAAATCACAGGTGGAGAGGTCTGGACCGTACGGAAGATGCCGTACTTTCCAGTTTATTTCTTGCACGATTTTTATGCTTACAACAGCTTTCAATTACACTCAGGCTTCATCTGCTGTTACAATCGAACAAAATTATGTTTTGATCTCCTTCTTCAATAGCAAAATATAGACATGAGAACTGAAGAGAAGCCTTAGTCCTGTATTTGCTTCTTGTTTCCCTTTTATTCTACCAATACCTTCTTTTTCACCTTTTTTTTAACCTTTTTTTATTCACATTATTTTCATCATCATCTTCCTATAACATCATATCCCTAACGCCAATCGTCCACGTCTACGTTTGTACGAAGAAGATTGTGATTCAAAAAATCAGTATTCCTAACAAGTCTGTTAGGGATTCGGAGTGTTGAAAGCTATCTACTAAATTATTTTGCTACTGTTGTCATCGCTAAATTAAAGTGTGTATTCAGTTGGAAACTTTTCGCTATACATTTTTATTGTCTGCACTGTAAAATTAATGGCAACACTTAAATTCACCCTTATAAAGAGTTATGGGGTGCTACATCGAAGCAAATGTAAAGGGGACAAAAAAATAATGTGTCCTTTCATCGATAAAGCTTTTAGAAGCATGAAAAATTATATCAATGCTCGAATCTTCAAGTTGTTATTAACGTCAATTTCAGTTTTCTAAGGTTTACTTAAAAAATGTAAAGATATCCTTTCACGTAAATATGTTTATACAAAAACAAAATTAATATTTCTTGTTTTCGTTTTAAAAATTCAAAACAATTTATTTAAAAATAGCTAGCAAGTGATTTTGCTAACTTGCCCACGTTGTTAAACTGCACAAAAATGGTTTAGGTATACGCGGTATTATTTCCGGTTTCCGGTATGATTGATGGAAATACGAATGAAAACTGCATGGAATTGTCTGTTCAAACAAATTCGATACTTTTGTTAGTAGAGTACGTATAGGTTTCCACTTCAGTAGCACGTTTCTGCGGAGATTATTTTGCATGAATATGTCGACAATAAAAACGCCAAATGCACCACTTCATTGTTAGTTACTAATATAATTAATACTAGAATGCAAATCGTGAACAATTCATTTCAAAACATGCCATAAATTTCTAAACGTATAATAACTAGGCACCATCATACGTGCAGTATAAAGAAATTCTATACAGCAAAGAAACTACTTTGATCTAACCTGAAAGCCGGCGTTTTTACAGGCAGTCATAAATCAACTTCCTATGCGTTGAACTGCCATATACGTGGAAGGCTTAAAACCTTAACTAAAGTGTACGTACAGATACAGAATATATGTATTTATACTAATATTTACACAGAAGTATAGTACCATTTTCAGTAATAAAACAAATTGTACTAGTGTTGCGGAGATCGCAAGGCAAAGAGGTGTAAAAAACAGTAGCAGCTCGTTGAACGGAACATACAATAAATAAGTAAATAAATAAAATAATTATGATATTCATTTCTTCTCTTATTTTTTTTCTAATTTCACGATCATTTCCAAATGATATTACCTTGGAAGTACCAAACCAATTTTGCATCTCCTGAGATAAAAATGTTCAGTCCCTCAGAGTCTCTGAAGGCGAGACTCGAGTTTCCGAATCTCATCGAGTTTTTCTGGTGTCGCTGAGAGAGACTGTCGAGAGACTGTCAAAAAAACTGTTTAGCATCTCTGAACGAGAGACTCGAATCTCTCAATATGTGGTGTCTCGATAGACATGGTTAAAATTTTCTAAGCTCAACATATTTCAGAGATCCCAGTCTTTCTACGAGAGACTCGAGCCTCTCAGTTTTTCAGTTTTATTCATTTAGTCTCTCTGTGAGAGACTCGAATCTCTAAATTAACAATTTTATCGTTCGAGTCTCATACAGAGACTGTGAGAGATCCATAAAAACACCTAGGCAAACACTGAGAGACTGTGAAAGACTGTGAGANTGAAAAATTCCTAATCTAAAAGCATGTAATGAGAAATTGTTGGAAAATGGGTAGCCTGAGCAAACAGTGTGGTACCTAAATACCGTCTCCAATGACCATAATTATCCCAAAATTGAAACCCCAAATTCTCCCTTTGCCTTTGCCCCCGTCGCTGCTTTGTCTGGTTAATTTTACCCGTCGGTTATTACGGATTTGCAGCACGAAATGTATTACAAATGAATATGCTCAGAACGCCTTTATTACCATATACCTACATATATGAGGATTACATTACAGAGAAATGAACATTCTGTTCGATGGAATTTCTATACTTGCCGAATGTCTGCATTAATTCCACTGCTCAAAAGTAGTAATTAATAACAGAAAAAAGAGAAATCTTGTAAAATACCAGTCCCTAACAACGTTCATATTTCTTCAAATGTACCGCCGCATTCGCGGCCAGATAGGTGAATTGATGTTGTTTCTCTGAAAGACCTTTGAAAAAACTAGCACTCATGCTACCAAAACGTTAGAAAGCAACCCCAACACACAACGACCTTTAAACCCTGATTAGAACATCATTAGTTCTCAAACCAATTTTGAAATTATTCGTGTTTAGCGTTAAGCGCACAATATTATCGTCAATTCTATTATTTTCGTACAGTTTCTATCGTAGGATGCGTAACAGGTGTTTTGATCCCCCGGCAAAATGTCCCCGGACAAAATATCCCTGACAAAATATCCCTGGACAAAATATCCCCGTGACAAAATATCTCTAGACTAAATAGCACCGAACAAAAGCCCCGATAATAAATTATCAAACCGATACTCCAATAAATAATATAAAATTCATTGTCAGTAATATATAAGTCATTAAATCGATAATCAAATAAATATAATAGCATATATATTGGTTCCATGATTTTTCCATGGTTGCAATAGTTATTATAAACTAGTTAAATTTACTTTATATTCTTTGATACAATAACAAATACAAGAAAAAAAATGAACGATCGGCTAAATCCGCCGGGAATATGCCGATGAGGGACGGGGAACGTTTTTTGGATCGCGTTAAGCTACTGTAAGGAATGGAACGTACGATAAGGTGGCATGGCGCAAGTTTGACCGGGTTAGGTTAGGTTGCGCTGGATTGACCTGGGTTGGATTGTATTATGTTTGATCATGTGAGGT